TCTATCCTGTTTGGGATTTGTTGAACTTGAATGGATGTACTCTCGTCTTTCATCATATTAGGGAAATTCTCTTCCAGCAAATCTTAGACAATTTACTCTGTGGTTTTATATGTCTCTTCCTGTTCTGGAATTCCGATTATGTGTAAGTTATTCCTCTTGATGGTATCCCACATGAATCTGAATTCCTTATCAGGGAGTTCCAATGCTGCTTCTTCCTCAGGGATGTTTTCTAGGTTTGTATCCTGGTCTCTTGTTTCTACTACTTTATTTTGCTTCTTTGTGTAATCTATGATGGTCTGTTGTCTCGAGACATTGTGGTGGTGTTGTATTCATGTTTAATTTGTGGTTGTATGTAGGTGTGTTTGCCCAAGATTTTTTTCCCCCCTTTATTTTGTTTTGAAGGATCTGGGGGAGCAGGGTATTGTGCTTCTCTATTCGCTAGTTGGTAGCACTTAGACACTCAACCACTTGCCTCCTGGTGGGTGTGATAGAGAAAGAGAGTATATGCTCATTAGGAGCAGTTGAGGGTGAGTTGCAGTGGTATTGGCCGCTATCCGTTTGTCAGTTGGTGCAAAAGCAAGGAGTGGCCCTCACTCAGTGGGTGGGGCTGCAGAAGGTGCAGGTATGGTTGGTTTGTGTGAGAACAGTTCCTGTCTCCCACTCAGACAAACACACACACACACCCCCCAAAAACATAAATGCTAGCGAACAAAAAACTCAAACCATGTAAACAAATAGGAACAATTTAAAAAAAAAAGAAGAAGAAGAAGAGGAGGAAAGAAATGCAATACATGAGAAGAAAATTTTCAAAATATAGTAAAAAAAAAAAAAAAAGAATAAAAGAAAAGCCACAATGTCTGGGTGGGAGGAAGGAGAGAAAATAATAGCAAGAGTAAAAGAATAGTAGAGAAAAAATGGAAAATTGCAGAAAGGAAAATAAGGGATGGGAAGAACCAAAAGAAAGAAAAAGGAATGGAATTTGGCAAAGAGGAGACAGAGAGAGGAAAAAAAAAAAAAAGAAAGAAAGAACCAGGGATGAGAAAGGAAGAAAGGAGGAAGATAAAAAAGGTAATTTATTTATTTATTTTTAGTTAGGATTTGGGTGAAGATTTACAGAGTAAATTCACTTTTCATACAGCAGTTCACATATACTTTGTCTCATGTCATTGACCAAAATTTACAATGCAGCAGCTCCCCTCCCACTTCCTCCCCATAGTTACCTCCTCCCAGTGTCCATCCCTTCATACTCTTCTGCACCCTGAGCTATCTCCCTGTGCATAAGCAGCCCTTCCTTCTCCCATGATTGTTCTCTCCAGGGCGTGTGTCTACTTGAGGTAAATGTTTAACTCACATGCCTGTACTTTGTTTGGCTGGAAACCACAGTTGTGAGTTCAATTCCAGACCTGAAGGGCAGCTAGGGGCCATAGTCTCAGTGGTTACACCAGGCTCTATTGGACCAGCAAACCTGGTCCCCACCTTCTAAAAAAGGTAATTTAAAACAAACAAACAAAAACAAAACTGTGGGGGCGGAGGCACGACACCTCAGCTTTGTCAGATTCACAGGCCAGGATGGAATTTCTGCTGGTCAAGAAGGTAGGTGGAGACGGGATGGCCATACCTCTGTTCACCAAGAGGGTGTGAGTATAAGAGTAACTAGAGGAATATTGCACCTTTCTAGTTGGCAATCACCAGCATGGTTGGCTGTGTTGTCCTTGGCAAGCTGAGCTTATTCTTAGGTTGCTGTCCAAGTAATACCACTTGCATACGTTCAAAATGGCTGTGCCTTCAGAACAGCCACTGGCAGTCTACAGGTCTGTTTTTCTCCTCCTTTGCTGTTTTCCTTTCTGGTTGTTAGGCACCAATGCAGTTTTTGCCCATGCAGTCCAATTCTTCAGTTGTGAGTAAGACATATTCAAAATGGCTGTGCCCTCAGGATAGCTGGCGATCCACAGCTCCATTTGTTTCCTCGCTCACTGTTTTCATTCAGGTTCTTCTACTAGTTGTTATTTAATCCACTTCTTTATCCTTCCCTTCAAATCTCAGTGTTCCAGGATCATCTTCTTTATCAGTTTCAATTGGTTTCTCATTGCTTTGTTGTAGAGGGTCTGTGTAACTTGTCTGCCTGTTCTGCCATCTTGCCGGAACTCTGAGTTTGTTTTTTTCTTTACTATGTTGTCAGAAATATAGCATAGCAGGGTAGAAAGGGCTGGCTGCCACAAGAGGCTAGAGCTGCCCTCTATTGCCCAATACTAGAATGTTTCTGGCATGACACTGATATGGAGTGTAGCTGAGTTCTGATTCTCAGCCTTATTAACTCCAAAAAAAAAAAACCCCAAACTCATTGCCATTGAGTCGATTCTGACTCAAAACAACCCTCTTTGGGTTTCTGCAGGGGTAAATCTTTACTGAGGTAGATTGCCCAGTCTTCCTTCTGCAGAGTGGCTGGTGGATTTGAACCGCCAACCTTCTGGTCAGCAGTCAAGTGCCTTAGGCATTATGCCATTGAATTAGTTTTTGCAAGTAGATACATTTGTGGTTTTTGAATTTTTATTTATCTTTTATTGCCTCAACTTTGATGTTCTTCTTCCTGATCAGTGTTTAGAAATTGCTGCAAATCATTGAATAATAAATGTGTTTTCAGTTTTTGACCAAGAAATTATTTCACCAGGAAATCACTTCATTAAAAGAAACGTTAAAAACACAAAACAGTGTTGACCTTTTAGGAGCCATAGTAACTCATTTGGAGCTGAAAGCAGAATTCTCTCAACATCATCACACATGGAACGATATAAATGTATTCACTATGATTGAGTAGAGTACATGTGTGTCAGATTAGCAGACAAATTATGGTATAGTCATGTATTGGTAGTCCCTGACTTATGACAGGGTTCCATTCCTACAGCTGTCATAAGTCAGTTCTGATCTTCGTCAAATGCCCATTTTTTTTTCTTTGTCTTGTTCTCTTAGCCTGCTGTACAGCAATGTTTTGAACAGTAAAATCATAGCATTGAACATGTGTGTGAACACCTGTGAACGGTGACGTCACCGCATTACGTGCTGCAGTACTGCAGTATTGTTACTAGAAGACATAGGGAAAAGCAGCCACCGATGAACGCGAGTGTGTTTGTCGTAACTCGGATGCCTAAAATTGGAGACTACGTACACTGTAGATGTTAAAAAGCATAAGGATATGGAACAGTCACCAGGATACCCCGATTGTTAAGTAGGAAAAGTGAGAGTTAGAACAGCATGTACATCAAACCCAAAACCAAACCTGGTGCTGCTGAGTCAATTCTGAATCATAGTGACCTTGTAGGACAGAGTGGAACTGTCTCATAGGGTTCCCAAGGCTATAAACATTATGGAAACAGACTGCCATATCTTCTCCCACGGAGCGACTGGCAGTTTTGAATCACTGAGCTCTTAGTTGGCAGCCTAGGGCTTCAGCCACTGTACCACCAGGGCTCCTAGTGTGTACGGAGGACCTTTTAATGCATGGGAGATCTCTGGAAGGGTATGTGGGAAGTGGTAGCGTTGGTCACTCCTGGGAGGGGGCTAGAAAGTCAGGGAACAGGATTGGAAAGAGTGTAATTTTTCGTTCTATACCTTTATTAGGGAGGCTATGGTGGTGGTGTACCTAAGGCATTTGACTGCTAACTAGAAGGCTGGCAGTTCGAACCCACCAGCCATTCCTTGGAAGGCAGGTTGGACAATCTACTTCTGTAGTGATACTGCCTCGGAAACCCAAGGAGCAGTAAATCTTTACCCCAAGGAGGGGTCACTGTGAGTTGGATCCAACTTGACGGCAGTGAGTTTTTTGTATATTTTTTTGTTTTATATCGACGGAGCATGTTGATGGAGCACAGCAAAAATGCCTCCTGAGGGAAGAGTAGAAGACAAACGCTTTTCTTATTTAAACAAATTACTGCTGCAAATAGTAGCTGTTGATATTTTTTTTCCCACTTCCAAGCTTGATATTACAGAGAGTGCTGTTTCATATTTAGGATAAAATGTATGTGACCCCAAATGTGAACATGACCTACTATATAATTTTGAAATTATAGGCCACCTACTTTGCACTTGCCATCATGTTCTTGATCATGAACAAATTCATTTATTAAAATTGCAAAGCATTTCATAACTTTAGGAAGTACACCAAGGTTTGCAGAAAAACATCTAAGAATAAAAAGCCATAGTCTTTTTTTCAGAAGATAAGAAAAGATAAGGAAGCAAAATGATTGGGAAACATGGAGAAATGTGTACAGACAAATGGAACCCATTCAAAGGAGAGCATTGAAAAGGGCGAGGGAACTTGCAACATACAGAAAGGTTCTTTAACTTTCAGGGAAGGCTCTGGAGGAGGTAGCTTCCAAAGATTTGAAAGATTTCATGTTTAAGAGTAAAATGTGCATTGAATAAAATTTGACTCAGTGGGCAATTGTGAAATCGAAAGATCTTCACTCAGAAGGTGGAACTTAAGGACGAGGGGGAAACAGTTTGGAGAGTGGTGCATTCTGCAGCTGCTCCTGGAGGTTGGCCAGCCCTTTAGGCTGTGGTGGGCGGAGCCGCAGGGGTTGGCCAGCCCTTTAGGCTGTGGTGGGAGGAGCCGCAGGGGTTGGCCCGCCCTGGAGGCTGTGGGGGGCGGAGCCCAGCAGTGGCTAGGCATTTCAGGTAGAGGACACTTAAACCCAAACCCACTGCTGTCGGGTCATTGCTGCCTGGTGGCGACCCTCTGTGTGTCAGAGGGAAACTGTGTTCCTTAGGGTTTCAGTGGCTGACTTTTTAGGAGTAGATCACCAGGCCTTTCTTCTGAGGCCCTTCTGAGTGGACTCAAACCTCCAGCCTTCTGCCTGGCAGTCCAGCATGTTAGCAGTTTGCACCACTCAGGCCCTTAAGCCTCGAGATTCTCTGGACTGAATTTTGGTGTTGCGATTTTTGTCTTGTCCTAAGTACGTAATGCGTTTTACTTACAACCTTTTCTGTTAAACTTCCTTCTCTAGGTGAGCACCAGCAGCCACATTTTCCCGGCCTCACCCGAGGGTTAGTGGCTGTTCTTTTATACTGGGATGGAAAGCGGTGCATTGCAAATTCCCTGAAAGCCTTGATACAGTCTAGACGGGGGAAGACGTGGACCCTGGAGCTCAGGTGTGTTTGCTTACGATTGCAGATGTTACCTAGAAATTATTTGAAGAATTACCAATTTTAGAAATAGCAAGATTTTCCCTTACTACTACACAATAAGAGGATGAAGACTCTCTAATTCTGCCAAGAGTGACGTGACAATTTAAACCTGTTTTGTACTGTTTACAAATAAAGAGCAATTCAGTTGTTAGTGCACAGAAGTTTATCGACACTCTCTGATCTGGAAATGATGGCAGGAGCCAGGTTATAATTCATCCTGGTTGCTTTTGGTGATGCAATGGAACTGTCAAAGGGCCTTCTCTGTGCATTACAGATACTGTTACTCATTACGGCTTTGTTTATTTGATTTCTTTTCATTACAGTCCAGAGCTGGTTTCCATGACAACACATTTTACAGATGAGCTGATGGAGCAAGGATTGACTTACAAAGTTCTTACCCTGGTGTCACAGATTGATGTGAACAATGAGTTTGAGAAACTGCAGCGAGAGAGAGGCCTGGGCAGTGAAAAGCATCGCAAAGAGGCAAGGGGACAGCTACATTAGTCCATGGGTTGCCTCTGTCAAATCTCAGAGGGAGAAAAGTCATGAGAATGAGAATATCCTTCTCACAGAGGCATGGGAAAAGTAATACCTATTAAAGTGGGTTGGCAATGGTGTCCACAAAATTGACTTGCATTTATTTTAGCTTTATGGCCCCTTGCCATTCCAGTTCTTCTGGAATAAAATCTTCATGAAATTGGTCCCCACATAAAGGAGCTTTGCATTTAGGAATGAGGAATAAACACTAGGGTTCACTCTGATCTCATGGGTTAGATGTTAGGATAATGTGTGGATTCAGAGAGGTTTATTTACTCGGCCTTTTATAAAAGATGGTTTTGTGTTAAGGAATAAAACAGCATTACTGTTGTTTGTCTGTGCTGGTAACAGTACTGTGTCCTTCCCAGGTCTCTGACCTCATCAAGGAGTGCAGGCAGTCTCTGGCAGAAAGCCTGTTTGCCTGGGCTTGCCAGTCACCGTTGGGTAGAGATGACACTCTGCTTCTCATTGGGCATTTGGAAAGAGTCACCGTTGAGGCGAATGGCTCATTGGATGCAGTGAATCTGGCTCTTCTCATGGCCCTGCTGTACTGCTTCGATATCAGCTTCATACTCCAGAGCACCGAGGAACGTGACGGTACTGGACTCTCTACCACTTACACATTCATCTTAAAAATTAGGTTCACAATTGCGCTGGTGACATGTAAGAGGGGTGATATTACCTACTAACAAAAATCTGAATGTTTTATTCCTATCTGTACAGTTCATCCATATTTGAATATTGAGATGTAACATCACAATTTGAAAAAGTTTAGTCTTATTCGGTGTTTCTATTGTCCTTTGACTTTGGAAATGGGAATGTGTTAAAGGATGCGAAACACCCAGATTTACACATACTTAGTTAGCTTTGCTCCATTTTCTTTATTACTTATCCACACTTCCACACAATTCATGAAAACATTCTTAGGAAGGATAACCATAATTTCATAATGTACCATTTTTGATGTATATTTCCTATAAAGTAGATAAAATTTCACTGGTAACCTTGTGAACAGAATTCCACAGAAAAAGATGATTGCTGTTTAATGCCATAAATATTTATAATTATCCCAACAGTTATCCTCTGTCCACTTTGACTGTGTCATTCAGATCTCCCATTAGGTTCATGGGAGAGTAGACATTTTCAACTCTTCTCTGGTGACCGTCCTTAGCCATTAGGAAAGGCTTGTTTAAACCACAACTGTCCTTAACTGTGAGTAAGTTTCATGGCACAGTAATCAGAGAGCAAAAGCATTGGTCAGATTTCCTGTGTTGATGGAATTTAGGTGCAGGATTAAGTTAGAGATGGGCAAGACCATGGGACCCTGGACCTGAGCCTTAATGGAAGTTGTTAAGTTGGGATTTTTATAAAAGCCAAGTGGAATGATTGTAAAGTGTCCTAGGTGAAGAAAAACAGTGTTTTGCCTTCAGTTGGGATTGTATCAAGTTAGGGTGCTTATACTGATTACCTCATTTTGATTGTAAGTTCTTGTTCATCATTCTTTGTATCTTTGATTGATAAATAGAATAAGGAAATTACTAACGTGCGTGTAATAGCAGGCAGAAACTTAAAACACAGAGAATTAAAGAGTAGGTTCTTGATTAAAAGTTAGGGACCATTGAACTAGTTATTCCCAAGATGGTATCATAAGGAAGTATCAGAAAATAATGAAGTAAAATAAATGAATTCTTCAATAGTCTATGGTTTTTCCTGTTATTTAAGTATTTCTTCAGAATCCTGTGCTTGTTTGAAGCATTGTGTACAGTTCAGCTGTAAATGGAAAAGCCTTTCATTACTATTTGGCTGTTTTTCCTCTGTTACTCCAGGTGAGTAGAGACCAGGTGCGCCTTGGATGGCTGCTTGCAAGCTTTTAAGACCCTAGGTACTACACAATGGACTAGGAGGTAGAACAGAAGCACTAAGCATGTAATTAGGCCAGTTAACGAGATGGCCTGTGAAACCATGACCCTGCTGTTGTAGCCAGAATGGGTACTTGTCTATCCTTTGTGTCCTTTGTGCGAATCAGTTTGTTTTTTTTTTAATTGTAATTTGGGTGAAAGTTTACAGAGCAAATTCACTTTCCATACAGCAGTTCACATACACTTTGCCTTATGACATTGACTACAATTTACCACAATGCAACAGCTCCCCTCCCACTTCCTCC